TTTTCTCTGTCTTCTGTCTGGACTGTCCCTCTCGCTTTCTCATTTCTCTCTCTACTCTTCTCTCGTTCCCTTTCGTCTCCCCTCTCTGCTTTGTTTCTCACTCTCTCACTTCTCCCCCTCTCCCTCCCCCCATCTCACTCTCCTTTCTCCTCTCTCTTCCCCCTTTCTCTCCCGCCATCCTCTCTCCCTCATTCTCTTTCATCTCGCCCGCAGCCCTCGCAGCATACGTACAGAGCTCACGATTGTTCTCCCGTGTTTTTAGCGGTAATTTATTGTTTTATTTTCTCTTTTCATTCCGCTTTTTACGCGTCTGCTCGGACAACGCTGCGGCGGCGTCTAATGAAACGCTCTATTTGTTTTCCCCGTTTCGTGACTGTGAAGTTTGAATGATGCCAACACCTGTCATTATCTGGTCTGCCACCTGTAGCCGCCTCGCCTCTCTCCCTGCTCCTCTCTCTCTCTCTGGCTCTCGCTCTCTTCTCTCTACTCGTCCCTCTCTCTCTCTCTCTCTCTCTCTATATAATATATATATCCCCCCCCTCTCTCTCTCTCTCTCTCTCTCTCTCTCTCTCTCTCGTCTCTCTCTCTCTCTCTCTCTCTCTCTCTCTCGCTTGGCATCGCTCTCGCTCTCGCTCTCTGTTTCTTTTTCTCGCTCTCTTCGCCTCTCTCTCTCTCTCTCTCGCTCTCTCTCTCGTGCTCTCTCTCTCTCTCTCTCTCTCTCTCTCTCTCTCTTCTCTCTCGCTCTCTCTCTCGCTCTCTCGCTGCTCTCTCTCGCTCTCTCTCTCTCTCTCTCTCTCTCTTCTCTCTCTCTCTCTCTCGCTCTCTCGTCTCTCTCTCTCTCTCTCTCTCTCTTCTCTTCGCTCCTCTCGCTCGCTCTCTCTCTCTTCTCTCTCTCTTCTCTCTCTCTCTCCTCTCTCGCCCTCTTCCGCCTCTCTCGCTCTCTGTCTCTTTCTCTCTCTCTCTCTCTCTCTCTCTCTCTCTCTCTCTCTCTCTCTTCTCTGTCCTACTCTCTATTCTCTCTCTCTTCTCTCTCTCTCTCTCTCTCTGTCTACCTGTCCGTCTCTCCCTTCCTTTCTACCTCCTTTTCTCTCTCTCTCTCTCTCCTTCTCTCTCTTTCTCTCTTTCTCGCTTCTCTCTCTCTCTCCTTCTCTATATATATATATATATATATACCCTCCTCTCTCTCTCTCCTTCTCTCTCTGTCCTCCCCCTCTCTCTCCCTCTCTCTCCCTCTCTTTCGCGCATGGCTTCTCAAGTCACTTCACTCTACTCACGCTCGCGTTTCCTCCATTGCAGGCACACCCATCACAGCGGTGCTGTAGCCACCGCCTGATGCGGTGCTACTCAAAAGATGGCTGCCAACCAGCTAACAGACGACAGCGGGCGGGCCGCGACGCTCGACAGCCCGAGCGGCTGCCCGCCGCAGCTGCCCCCGGCGTGCCCCGCTCGCCGGCCGGCGGCGCAGGGACAGTGCGGGACGGCGGGGCAGCCGCCGCCACCGCAGCAGCAGCTAGCGACCTCATATATTGAACCTCAGAGCACCAGAGCGACCTCAGCCAGTACCTCAGCCCCGCTCAGCGTCAGCGTCAGCGTCGAAGAGGCGCGGCCCGACGAGCCGGTCACCTGCGGCGAGTGCCTCGAGCAGTTCGCCGACCTGCAGCTGTACCTCGAGCACGCGTGCGAGAGCGGCGCCCCCGCGTGGCCCGACGACGAAGCGTCGGCGGCGAACAGCGACAATGACAGCCTCCTCAGTGACGTCGAGACGTTCGAGGGCAAGATCGTCTACCAGCCGGACGGCTCGGCGTACATCATCGAGCCGGGCGACTCCGAGTTCAGCAACGCGAGCACGTCCAGCCTCGACATTCCGACGCAAGAGGGCGCCATCATCGACAAGCGCGACGCGGTCGTCAGCAGCGCGCTACCTCAGATCGTCAATGCATTCCACGTGTCGTGGAACACGGTCATGTACGACCCGGCGCTGTACGGGCGCGGCCGCGCCGGCGACGCCCCCGAGAAGAAGCGCTTCACCGAAGCGCCGGTCATGCACAGCTACCGCGTCTACGACGTCCGCGGCGGCGCCCCCTCGCGCGGGGCGACCGGCGGCGGCGACGCGCCGCTCAGCAGACCGCCGTTCCCCGTCTGCGACTATACCTCAGTTCCGACGAAGCCTATTCTGATGTGTTTTATATGTAAGCTGTCATTCGGGTATTCGAAGTCGTTTGTCGCGCACGCCATCGGCGAGCACGGCGTTCGCATGTCCGCCGAGGAGCAGTGCATTATGGACCGCGAGAACTCCTCGGCGATCATCCAGGGCCTCGGCGTCGATAAGGAGCCGCTGCTCTCCTTCCTCGAGCCCAACCTGCCTAACCGCACGTACGGCGGCGGCGGGAGCAGCGCGGGGAAACCCGCCGCGAATCTGTCAGTATTACCGGCGGCGACGACGACGACGACGCTTTCAGGCGCGGCGTCGGGCGCGGTCGCCGCCAGCGCCACCTACGCATACGTCCCCGTGTCGCCGGACGCGGACGGGAAGACCGCACCGCCGCAGGGTGAGGGCGCCACCGGGCATTTCACCGTGCCGGACTCGCCGCGGCCGAAACAAGTGGACGTCTTCAACGACGACAGCGACAGCTCTCAGGCGGTCGCCGCGACGACGCCGGATCTGATCGATGGCGGAGGCGGCGGCGGCGGCCGGGGGGCGGCGGCGTCGCCGGGCCGCGCGGCGGGCGGCCCGTGGTCTACGTCGCGCCCCGGCTCGAGTCCGAGCGAATCCGGCTCGTCGCACAGCGACGCGATGGACCTCGTCGCCCGCGGTTACCTCTCGCCACTGGTTGCCGGGGGCAACCCGTTCCCGCTCTGCCCGCAGCATCCCGACGGGAAGGGCGGCAGCGAGTGCGGGAAGTGCGAGGCGTTGCTCGGCGCTGCGGCGGCAGCGGCGGCGGCGGCGGCGGCGGCGGCGTCGCATTCGCTCGGCGGTCACATCAACCTGATGCACTCGCGCAACTCGTGCAAGACGCTCAAGTGCCCCAAGTGCAACTGGCACTACAAGTACCAGGAGACTCTCGAGATCCACATGAAGGAGAAGCACCCGGAGAGCGAGACGACGTGCCTGTACTGCCTCGCCGGGCAGCCTCACCCGCGACTCGCGCGCGGCGAGACGTACAACTGCGGCTACAAGCCGTACCGCTGCGACGTCTGCAACTACTCGACGACGACCAAGGGCAACCTCAGCATCCACATGCAATCCGACAAGCATCTGAACAACCTCAACGACCTTCACAACGGGGACGCGCGCGCGCCGCAACCGGCCGACATGTTTACCCCGCCCGACGTCGCCGCCGCCGCCGCCGCCGCCGCCGCGCCGCAGCCCCGCCTCCTGCCGAGTCTCGGAGCGCCGCCCCCTGGTGACGGTAAGGGGAAACCGACATGGCGCTGCGACGTTTGCGCGTACGAGACGAGCGTCGCGCGCAATCTTCACATTCACATGACGAGCGAGAAGCACGCGCACAACATGCTCGCGCTGCAGCATAGTGCCAAGCAGCTACAGCGCGACATGCACTACCAGCACAGCGAGCAGCTGCGGCACCTCCACGCCGCGCTCGGGCTCCCGACGCCCCCTCCCCCCGACCTCATCCCCCCGCCGCCCCCCGACCCACGCTTCAACCCCGCCATGCTCATGCACGGGTTTGGCGGCATGGAAGCGGCGGCGGCGGCGGCGGCGGCTGCGGCGGCGATGGATAAGCCGCTGGATGTCGTTGCCGTCGACAACGTGAAGATGTTCCAGTGTTGCATCTGCAACGTGTATTCGACGGAGAGCCTGGATGCACTCCACCAACACATGCAGACGGACCGCACGAAGGAAGGAGGCCTCGAAGTCGCCGTCGTCGTCGGCGCCACCTACATGTGCAAGCTCTGTCAGTACAAGACGAACCTGAAGGCGAACTTCCAGCTGCACTGCAAGACGGACAAGCATCTTCAGAAGCTGCAGCTGATCAACCACATCCGCGAGGGCGGCCCGCGCAACGAGTGGCGCCTGAAGTACCTTACGATGACCAACCCCGTGCAGGTTCGCTGCAACGCGTGCGACTTCCAATCGAACAGCGTGCACAAGTTCCAGCTCCACGTCGGAAGTCAGATGCACGAGTTGAACGGTCGGCTGTTCTTGCACCTTCAGGCGAGCGAGGCGGCGACGGCTGCGCGCCGCTACTACCACTGCGCGCTCTGCAACTTCAACTCTCGCTCGCGCTCCAACATGATCCAGCATGTGAAGTCCGTGAAGCACCTGCGCAGTGAGGCGCTCCGGCAGCAGCAGCAGCTGGGGTTGCTGCCCGAGGAGGTTACCGACGTGCTGACGGTGAAGGAGTACCGCGACGGCGACAAGGTCAACTTTGACGACCACGGTAAGTTCACGTGTGTTGTTGTTGTTGTTGTTGTTGTTGTTATTGTTGCTGTTGTTGTTTCTGTCCTTTATTGTTGCCGTCGTCTACGGTGTCGTTGTTGTCATTGTTGTTGATATAGTTATTGGTGACGGTCACAAGGCGATTTCCTGTGAGGTCCACTTAACCAGAAATGCTTCACATTGTCGTTGATGCTACTGATGTTATTTTGGTTGTTGTTGTTGTTGTTGTTGTCTCGCGCGTTCTTCTGCGCGTTCAGCCATCTGCCCGGCCGGATAACTGAAATAAACAGAGTGATGAACCAAGTATCGGTGAATCAGGGAATCTGGGAAGATATGTACGGCTTTTGACTAGAGAAGCGATGAGAGCACGCAAGCGGTTGCTATGTTAGTCGACTACTGGTACCCTAGCGCTGTGCCAACACCAGGCCAGGTCTATGTGAACAACAGCAGCGAATTATGTCTGCAAGGCATCGTACATTGTGTCCACTCGTGTATTCGGCAATCCTCGGCCATCATCGGGATATTATTATTATTCGTACTCTCTCGGGGCAACCTAAGGGCTTGAGATCCTTGGAGACCTTGCAGACCTTGTCGTTTTCAACGACCGTGCCAGGCCCTGTGTGCTGCAGTGGCTAGGTCGAGTGTAGTGTAGTGACCCGCGAAGAAGAAGAACCTATAAGGCTTGTAAACGTACGGCTGTGTTGACCAACAACGTAACCCACATAACAGTAGTATAAATATATAGTATATATAGCATATAACCCACATAACAGTAGTATAAATATATAGTATATATAGCATATAACCCACATAACAGTAGTATAAATATATATATAGTATATATATATATAGTATATATAGTATATAACCCACATAACAGTAGTATATATATAGTATATATAGCATATAACCCACATAACAGTAGTATATATATAGCATATAACCCACATAACAGTAGTATATATATATAGTATATATAGCATATAACCCACATAAAAGTAGTATAAATATATATATAGCATATAACCCACATAACAGTAGTATATATATATAGTATATA